GCATGGCATGGCATGGCACGGCATGGCTCAGCTCGCTCAATCTGCCCTCTCCCACTCCCCTTCCCTACTCCCCTCCTCTTCCATAACACACTTACCTGCTAGGCTGTGTCTGTGTAGCGGCACAGTAGAAGTATCTTTTAAGTTTAAGTTTAACTCAGTACCCCCAAATAATGTTTTCTCCCTTTGCCTATGGTCAGCACATCACTTCCTCTCCCCTACTATTCCTTCCACTCCTATACACCACTGCCACCGTCCCCAGCTGACCCAAAGGCAGGGAGAGCTCCAGAGCTGCTCTTCCCAGCCTGCATGGGAAACTAGTTACATCTGGGGGCAGTGAACAGGTTCCTCCTACTTGCCTGATCCCTCTAAGTCCCCAGGCATTCTTCATTAGCTTGGGGACAGGCTCAGTGAGGGAGGCATCCACTTGCCACCACTGTCACAGCTGCTGTCCCTGGCTGAGGTTGGATCCCAAAGCAGCCTGGCTACAGTAGGATAGGAGTGGCTCTAAAGCTTCTCCTGCCCCAGAACAGCTGAGGACAGTGGTAGCAGTGGGTGGGGGATGGGGAAAATGGGAAGCTAGAAAAGAGGAAGAGAGGGGATGTGATATAATACACCTCTCCTGATCATGGAAAGGAACAGGCAAGAATTCCTACCTGATGTAGGAATCTAAAGTCCCTGGCTGTTGGCCTCCTGGTGTGCTCTGAAAAGAGGTTATGACCGTGCCACTGCACCCCTATGGACCTGCCTCTGCTGCAGCTTGAGGCCATTTCTACTAGTTCTGTCCACTATGGTCACAGGGAAAAGTCTAATTACCACACCCTTTATCAATGACTGTTCAGTTCAGGTATTTGACAGCTATTATCTAATTCCCCCTCATTCTTCTTTTTTTCATGCTAAATAACCCTAGCCTTTTCTACCCTTCCACACAAGTCATATTTTCCCACACTTCTAATAATTTTTTGCTTCTCTGATGGACTCTTTCCAAGCTGTCTACACCCTCTTTGAAGTGTGAGGTCTAATACTGGACACAGTACTCTAGATGAGGTGTCACTGGTACCAAATGGAGCAAAAGAATCACTTCCCCAGATTTTCAAGAGGCTCCTCTTAAACCAGTATGCTGTTGCTTGCTTGCTTTCTTTCTTTTTTGCAAAAAGAGCATGCTGTTGGCAGCTCAGTGTAACCCCCAAGTCCTTCTCCACACCCCGTATTTTATATTGTGCGCATGCACGCGCACACACACACACACACACACACACACACACACACACACACACACAGAGTGGGTGTGCATGTATACATATATCCATATATATTAGAATACTAAAAAAACCATATGTACGTTTGTATATGTATTTTATGTATACACATACATACTTTTTCTAGTATTCTAATAAATATACACTACAGATACATTTAGTTACAACAGTCACCACTACTGCTATTTTCAACCCCCAGGTGCGTTTCTTCACAAAATGCTAATTTATTGTAGAATTGTGTATGCTGCAACTAAGACATGCCCATGAATTCCCTTTGGTTCATTTAAATGCAAGATGATCATTCTCTATCATGATCAAGAAAGTAAAAGTACCTTGATCTAGTAAAAGTCCCTTGAGTTGCACCAAACTCTATGTTGTTACTTAAACTGAAATAATATTAAATTATGTCTTAGTTATCTTAACAGACAAGGTTTCATTTCACACCACAAATGACAGCTTCAGTAATGGGAAAAAGTCGCTTACTTCAAAATGGACTTGAGAGAGACAGAAAGAGTGAAGAGCAATCTTAGGGCCTTGTTACACATTACACCAGGGGTGGGCAAAATGCAGCCTGGGGGCTGGATGCAGCCCACCACGCCATTGTATCTGGTCCGTGGGGCCCCTAAAAAATTTAGAAAATTAATATTAATCTGCCCTGGATTGCCTGTCGTGTGGCCCTTGATGGCTTTCCGGAACTCAGGCTGTGGCCCTCTGCCCAAAATAATTGCCCGCCCCTGCATTACACTGTGAGCTGCTCAAAAGTTGATCAGCTTTACTGCTAGCTCAAGTTTGGAGCAAAAACACATTCAGGCCAGCAGGGGCCTGAAGGACTGAGAGGTAAGAACTGCTGTACCCCCCCCACCATTCCAGGCTTCCCCCTTGCCTCCAGGGCTTCCCTGCTTCCCCCTGCCCCTGAGGCTGCCTTCCTACCCCTCAGAGTTCCCCACACCCTCCTCAGTACCCCAGATCCCCACTCACTGCCCACCACCCCAACTTACTTGTCGCTTCCTGTGCTGTTTATCTTAGGGACACATATAGGGATGAGTTCCTTGCCTGCTCCCCTGGGACAGACAGCATGGGGAGGCACATGTAAGCAGGGAGGGGCAAGCCGGGGGACAGTGAGCAGGGATCTGGGATGCTGGGGAAGGCAAGAGGGTGCAGTGAGCCCAATCTGAGCCAGTGGCGAGAGGTGGTGGGTGGGGTTTTTATACTAATATGTAGCCTAGAGAGGCTACACATTAATGTAACATGAGCTGGATAACACAGGTCGGAGATAAAGCTAAGCTGGGAGTGCTCCAGCTTTAAACCACCTAAAGAGTGCTTAAAACTAGTTTCAGGTGTTAACGTATGGACAATCCAGGGGTTAAGAGCTCCAGGAGCTGCCTAAGATTAACGTGCAACAAAGCCCTTAGAAAGTAATGGTGAGAACTTAAGTGAGATTCCTTAATGTTATAAAACCCAGAGAAACTAAATGGGTAGAAGATTTACATTCCCCTCCCCATTTTCATGTAAGTTTTAAAAAGTTCTCTTTTAGAAGAAAGACGCTTGCAGCCGGTCATCTTTCACCGCAAAATGTTCTCTAGAGCTGGCACAAAATGATTTTAAAAAGTCACTATTATATCAGCAAAAACAAATATATTCCAGTCAGTACCTAGCACTGGCACAACACCTGAGGTTACGTATTAATACCTTAAAAGTCCTTACCTTTTGACCAGTCCTCCATTTGTACTTCTGAACTTGTTTGATCTGGCACGAACTCTGAGTTTTGCTCCAAGATTTCAGAGCTAAAATAAAGCCAAACTCTAGATAAATAAACTTGAAACAATATATTAGAACACACCTATACCTTGCCTTTATTTGACAGAGAATTTACAAGACAAATGATTTAAAAAATATTTATAGTAGTACAATAAACTCTGTGTATTTTAACAGTTAATGCTAAATTATGTTCCCCAGTAAGAGATTTCTCTCTCTTCACACGTTTAGTTTATATAATGGTTTGTTCAGTTTTCTGTTGCATTCAATGCCTTTGCTGAAGAATTTATTAGTTTGCCTTCTTGTTGAAGAGCTTGATCTTGCAAATACATGTTACTGAGCAAAGCACAAACTACAATAAATAGTCCCTTTAAAAGCACTGAGACTAGTCAGTGCAGCAAGCTTTACTTTTTAGTAAGTGCTTCCAGTATTACCTTTATCAGTTTGAGTATGTATACCTGAATTTCATAGGCAAATGCACAAACAGAACAGCCCATTTTCAAATTTCAACATCTATGTTTAGAAGGGGTGGGTGAAAACCAAACTTTTGAAGCAAAATACTCCTATCTCCAAAAATAAAAAAAAGCCTGCTTCTTATGTATTGGCCGATAACGTATATACTGTTATATAAAATTACATTTTTGGTCACAATATTAACACCACCTAAGATATTAAAAACCCTAAATATCCTGTAAATTAGGCATATAATAAAAAGTTTAGGAAAAATATAAGATTATACTTAACAAATAAAAATCAAGCAAGCAAAAAAGTTTTCTTGTTTTATATAATGAGAAGGGTAAAAAATTCCATGATACCAAACAGTTTATGGAAATCCAAAGAAATAAAGGTCTTATCTATTGTAATATTTATTCTACCATCTATTAAACACAGTATACAAATACCAATTTTTCACTCCACAGTACACAGGTTAGAGGAACGTGCAAGTAGTAAATGTAAAACAGAACAAATATACTATTTATCTTAAAAATGCCGTTTGAAAAGGTAATGTTTGAGGCAATGAAAATGCATGAAGAATTACCATTTCAGCTGATAAATCTGATGTACTGTAAAAATTTCTCTCTCAAAAGTGAAGACGTAAAAGTCTACTCAATTATATCAACATATAAGTGTTTCAATATTCAACTAATTAAGCAGCAAAAGAAAGAGTTTTGTTAGGTTTTTAAAGAAAATAAAATGCTACAGGGACTCTCAATTTTAACTTTGAGATAATAAAAAATATTCTTTAGGACAGTGATAAGATTTATTCAGACTAATATTCACAGTAAGCATTCAGGAATGAAATGCATTTCAAGCTCCTAATTGTTTGAAGTGTAAAAGCATATGGTGAAAGCAGCACAACTGTTTATTTGATGTGCTTGCTTCTTAGGTATTTTTTTTTTAAGTGATAGCTTTACCTCATATCTACAGCATGAAGTTCCTTACAAAAGTCTTCAAATGAAGCTGTAAGCTGCTTCTTTTTCAATTTTGTGTAACTGTGTTGATTTGGAGTTGGCAATCTTAGTTTCTAAGTTCCTCATTTACTTTTGGATTAGCTGAAAATATAGAAGGTTATTAATATCAAGGAAATATGTTTCAGTCAATGAAGCCATTTCCCTACATATTGCATGAAAAAGGTTCATAATAATTGCAGTCTTTTAATAAGATATTCATATAGCAAGACATGAAGAAAATACGGTCTTTAATAACCTCTGGAGTATTTTAAAACATGTCTTAGGGCCTTAATGTGCCTAGTAATATACTATTTAAAACCATAATTTTATCCCTCCACAATATACAGTCATTCTTCCTCGCCATTTACCCAGCTAATGAATGCCAGCAATTAGTAAAATGTAATCCCATTGCACAATCATTTTAATGCTTTTAGCACTCAGAAAAGTAAACACCAAATTAATACTGCTCAAGCCATATCAGATCCTAGTTGGAAGCAAGCAATTATAGTTCAGCTCCTCAGGTGTAATTAAATGATTGGAATGATTTAGTTCCATAAATGCAAGTTAATTCATAAGCAAGCAACAAATATACTGGGAGTAATTACAAGAAACATTGACAGTCTAAGCAGGGCATGTTCTTTTATGTACCTGATGTAGTAAAATACTGCCCTCTCCTGGAGACAATAGTGCATATACATTGTATAATACACTTCACAACCCAGAGAATGACATAACTAAATCAGAGTTAAAATAAAGTCTTATTTTAGAAGATTATATATATATAAAAACACAATTGACAATTGCTGGGTTTATCTTACATACACAGAAAAATTAAATATAGCAGTTGAGCCATATAGAGAGACTTACTAATAACAGTAAACTTACACAACATTTTAAAATTGCCAAGTTCCTCGCTCTCCTCCCACCCTCCTTTCTTCCTTATGTTACCAACAAATGAAATAGTACTTTTAAAACATTGCATTTCTCAGCTAAGTGCCATGGCTTCTTCATAAAAAAAACACAAAACCTAATAAGCTTAGAGCTTATACTTAGTAAACTGGTCAGGAAATCTGTTTCCATTAAGTTATTTTCTGAGTGACAAAATTAATTGCAATGCTAGAGCACTGTGACAGCATTAAAGCAACTCAAATGTCAACAACACATTTAGATGTTAGTTGTAGTCATTAAAGGCTCTCTGGAAAGAAATCACTTGACAAATACAAAAATAACTGTTCTATAATCAATTCCCTTCAGATTAAATGAAAGTTTTAAGTCATAGGGAATCATTACTGAAATGTTTTATATAAAAAGGAATGCCTAACATCACATTTCAGTTATTCAAAATAAAATTTCAAAAACACACAGTAAATCCTTGGGTCAAGACAATTTTTAAAGAGGAAAAACAAAATGAATACCAAAAAAAGATGATCAGAGTTGAAGTACATACTTCAAATATAAGGCGTTTAAAACCTTATTCAGAATCCACTGAAGCAATCTGTGAGGTTGATTACACTCGCACTGTTTTGCTATCAAAACATCATCCTACTACAATTACATTCTGTAAATCATGCAAGGAAGGCTATAGACTGTCTACACTGATGACACATTATACACAAAACCATGCAAAAATGAACCTTTTTAAACTTAAAATGTGAGGTGACTTGTGTATCAGAATATAAAATGTAATAATTTGTCACAAAGTCAAAAGGTTCCATACTATTTGTTCCCTCTACCTCCCCACAGGAGCAAAACATAATGGTTTCAGGTTAATTATATGAAAATCAGTAACAAGTATCTGCAAACATAAGTATATGATTTTTTTATAAAAATTCTTTACAAAAGGTATATTCACGAGTATATGGCAATCTCCTAAATAATTTGAGTTCTTTATCAATAAGATTTTTAGCAACAAATTATGTCCATTCTCCTAATCATTCTGCCCTTCAAAAGAAACAGAAGTTGTAGATAAACCTCTACATAGATATTACATATACTATAATACTGAAATAAATCAAATAATTTTAAGAAGTCATATTACTAAGTTTAAAATGTACAGCACATTTTCTTTGCCCTTTTATGTCACCATCTTATTTTTCTATTCAAATCTTGTACACTGTAAGTTAATTGCTTTTGGAAGCTACTTATTATTCATGTAAAAATTAATGTGCCAATGTGTTTAAATCCTTTTAAATGACCATTCATGCATCTTTCTTCTTTAAGTGCCAATGAAATCTGTCAAAGATATCAATGCAAGATGGTCTTAAAGAAAGTTCTAATAAAGATTTTTTCTGCTAACATAAGATTTTCATTTTCACCAACTTTACTTAAATTCCATTAATTTTTTAAGCTGCTTTTAATAAATTCACAAGTAAAAATTTTTAGGCCCCATAGTCTGTCATTTGTGTTCCAGCTGACTTTATGAATATTAATAACAGTGTTATCCTGATTAAATAGGCTTCATATGAAATCCCTGTGAATCCTATAGCTCAGACATCTCATTTTTCCAACTCTTTATGAATTTGGATTCAGACATTAAACTGGAAAAAAATCTTAAAAAACAGATTTAATGGTACATTTGCGTATTCTTAAGCAAAATTAGATGTTCTAATGATACAAATAATTAAAACCTGATAGGTTCACATATTAAGATTTCAGGCTTTCTGTAAACATGCAACATATTTTAACTGTAATGAAAACTTCAACACTTTCCAGAACAGAGGAAGAATCGATCATAAAATACTAATGCTTGTCCTTATACTCACCTTAAATGATAGATAATATAATCTTGACTCTACATATGAGGATTAGAATTTCAAAAATATTCCTGCAAATGAAAGAAATATTGATGGATATTCACCCATTTAAGTTTAAACACCAAACACAGGTACACATTTATTACAGTATTACTGCAAAGCTTTCAATCTTTTAAACACATATAAACATATTTCTATTAGACACCCAAAGTAAACCATACAACATTAGCTTTTGCCTTGTGTATTTTTGTGTTCATTTCACAAGTGACCTAAGTTTTGGCACAAACCTGTTTGGGAAATTATATGGTATTTCAACCTCACCAGACTTGGGTGCCTACAATGCACAGCATACTCCCAAATCCTCAAGATCTACCTATACTTATGCATTGGGGTATGCACTCCTATTTCAGATCATAATTGGAAAATAGGGTACAAACTCTCTTGTGGTCTGCATATCTAATACAAAAAAGGACCACTTTCATTATGGAACGGCAATTAGAATCATCACTTGTCTCATTCATTTAGGGTCTAATCCTGCAAAGTAATCCGCAGTCTTCTGCCTTTTGGAGTTGTGGGTGGGCACAGAGGTTAACGTAAGTATATTCCTCTGCAAGAACTGGACCTGAATGACTAGAGTTGCTGATCACCATTTAGTTTCCTCATTAGTAAAGCTAACATATTAGAATGAATGGTTAAAAAGGGAAAATAGTGTAGATATTATTGTAAATAAATGTAGTATGCATTTTTCTGACTTTTCAAAAATAACCAACAATAACTTGGTAGCAATGTATGAACAAGTTTATCCCTTGCTTTTTATTATTGTTTTTCTTTTAAAGAAAATAAGGATTTTGTTGTGCCCTGCATGTGCATCCGGGCTCTTCACTCCAGCTCACATTCTTTTATGTTCAGTGACCTCCATATATTTGCAGACCCACAAAATGATCAGGTTTGCTCTTTATCTGCTTCCTCTGCTTCAGCCTACAAAGCTACTCCTTCCATTCATCTGACAAAAACTTACGTTTCTGGTTGTATCTGAATGCAATTAGGTCTGCTCTCATCCTATTGCATTACAACATACTGGTATCTAGCTCTTATAATGGACAATAGTCACTTAACCTAAAGCAAACTGACCATTTCAGTAAGACTCATGCCAAGAAATCTTATACTTTTTTCAAAAGTCCAAAGAACATGCTGTCATGGAATGTCTCAAACTTCCCATGTCATTCACAATTACATAAACATCTCAAGATGAACACAGCAGCAGAAATGTGCTCTACAGTAGCTATACCCAAGCTAGCTCCAAAATATCTAGCTCAGTTACTGCTAAGAGATACAGCCATGGCTGAATGGAGTTCAGCATGGGTTAACCACCCAAGTATTTACTCAACTTGTCAGGTAAGTTTTGCAATGTGCACCGAATTCCCTGCTGCCATGGCTAGTCACAAGCTAGCGACAACAGTGACTGTAGTACAAACATATCCTAAGGGAGCTGCCTTCCCACGCTGGCTCATAAGGCAAAAATCACTCTAGTGAGTCTTAAGTCATCTTAAAGGACTTTGATTACATATTGCTGTATTCAGATGTTAAATCATTCTTTTTTAATGGATAACTATTATCACTAAAGTAGAGTGGTTTTGGAGCCAAGATCTTGTGGGCAGTATTGCCAATGTAGTGCACATTCATCAGAGTGATAAAAATTGCTCCTTTGTGTCACATTTTGCTCAGTATACAGGTAATGCCTTAGTGTTTCTGCACAAACTTCCTTTTGCAATTAAATCCCAAATGGAAACACACTTGGAAAGCACCAGAGAAGGTTCAACAGATTGGATGAAACATGCTGCTGTGTGAAGTCAACATTCTCCAGAAAAGTTAAATTAGTAAGCAAGTTGCACTGAAAAGCAGATACACACCAATACCAGAACTAGAAATAGGGCTATCATGTGTTAACACTAGAAGAAGAGCAAATCACAAAGGTTACTTAAATTTATGTATTCCACATTTAAGTCACATGTTACAAATTTCTTATTTCCTACTAATGCCCAGGCAGGGATCGGGGTGGTGGGGAGCAAAGGAGACATACCCCCTTCTACTGCTGTCCTTAGATGATCTGGTTGTGCAAGGAGACTTAGTGCACCTCCTGTCCCATTCCAGCCATGGGCTGGGCTATGAATGTGCTGGGCATGAGGCTTGGCAGGGAACAGCAGCAGTGGTGCATGGGTTCCTCCTTCCAGTACATGCCGTTTGCCTGACCCTCACCCACAGGTGTCCCCTGATGGCCAGCAGTAGGCACTAAAAGGAGGAACCTATGTGCCACTGCCACATCCCTGGTTGATGCAAGTAAAGGACGGAGCTCCAGAGCCATTCCTGACCTGTTCCTGCCCTGCACTGCTCCAGGGGGCTGGCAAAGTGGCTGTGTGGGAGGCTGGGTTTGGCCAGGGGCAGCAGCGGTGGCGCACAGATTTCTCCTTCCAGTTCCTGCACCCAGATAGCAGGGAGGGGTGGTGTGAGGATGGGAATAGAGAAGGAGGGCAGAGGATAGGGACTGGAAGGAGGAAGTTGCCTGCCATTGCTGCTGTCCCCTACAGAGCCCACCTTCCCACACAACCTCTCTCCTAAGCCATGGCTGGAGCAGGGCAGAAGTGTCTCTGCACCCCTCCCCTACCCCCAGCTCTGTCAGAGACAAGGGAATGGTGTCAGCAGGTAGATAAAAAGTTACCCACCCGGCATCCCAGTGTCTCCTGCCAACCCAGGGGCTCCAGCCACATCTCACCCTTGTCCTCCCCATGATCTGAGGGGCAGTCTCTGCTGCACTCCCCCCATGGCCCCTTAGTAAATCTTGGATCAGCCACGTAGTTACTTTCACCTTCTCCTCAACTTCCAGGCAAGCAGCTCCTGGTCAGGGGTTAGGAAACTGAGTTCATCTTCCTACAGATTTCAATGCATTCTTTCTTGGATGCAAGTTCAGAAAGTGTAGTGTTTAGCTGGGAGTTGTTCCTGACTCCCCAGATATTCTCTGAAATCTTCAGCTACTAATATGATTTACAGACAACTTGCGTCTCCAAGTCCTCCTATTGTTCCTCACCATCGAGTTTAAGAGCCTGGGGACCAAAGACTTTCCTGCTAGCCATTGCCACCAGAACCACCACCAGAGACTAAATAAAAGTTTGAATTAATACTAATTCTATTATCACTCTAAGAATTCTGTTACTGAAAAGTCAGTCAGGCTTATAGGGGGAATAGGTCATATCTGGAGGAACGTTTGTTCACCAGAGTGCCCCAAGGGATGACGAGGTCGAACGGTCATAAACTACTACAAGACCGTTTCAGGCTGGACATAAGGAAGAATTTCTTTACTGTCCGAGCTCCCAAGGTCTGGAACAGCTTGCCATCAGTGGTGGTTCAAGCACCTACATTGAACACCTTCAAGAGCAAATTGGATGCTTATCTTGCTGGGATCCTATGACCCCAGCTGACTTCCTGCCCTTTGGGCGGGGGGCTGGACTTGATGATATTCCAAGGTCCCTTCCAGCCCTAATGTCTATGAAATCTATAAAAAGTGACCATCCTCCCTGCTCTCTCTTCCAGAGCTACACAAACTCATTCCCACAAAAGCATTCTTGAAGAAGTTTCTAAGACTGCACAAAGACAAGGACATGATACTAAGATCTGTAGTATCCCCGTCTCACTACCTTGCTTGCCTGCACATTCCCATTTTTCAACCCTTACATTCATAAAAATAAGTGGGGGTCAATGCACCTTACAGGCACAATTTTGTTGTTTGTTAGGATGGAAAGATCATGTAAGATTGTGTACAGCTTTTTATTCTTAAATATACTAACTACCAGCCTTCCTTACATTTGCAAAGCCAGCATTTGTCTTGTACAATAAAAGTTAATGACAGTTACCATTGTTACATGAGGGACATTGAGAATGAGTTTTATAAAAGCAGCAAAGATCTTAGAGTTTATTGATAGGGGAGCACAGTTTGAAATTTAGTACTATTTTCATGAGGTTAATTAGACACCAGGAACTTCTAAAATATCCTGAAACGTTTTGCCTCAGGCCAATCTAAACTAAATGACTTAATCTAGGAAGACATGTTAAATAAAAAAGTTAGCTCTGAAGGCATTTCCCCAGGGAATAAACAGACAGCTTTCTTAATGTTCACTTGGATGCCAAGTTTTGATGCGGTGATGCACACTCCCATAAAAAACTTACATTTCCACACTGAAAACTGAACACACTGGCAAATCAAAAATTGATGAGCGCCCAAGACACAACCAAATCAGTCTGTGATTGGCGTAAAAACTCTCTATCACTCAAATAAGACAGTGGTAGTTAGCCATTTTAGGATGAAGTTAAGCAGAACACTGGGCAAAGGTGGCACCTTATGGACTACCTCAGAGAGGCATAAGCTTTCATAGGCTGAAGCCTACTTCATAAGAAATAAACTAAGTTAGTTACTGCAAATACATAACATGGAATTTCATGCTTTCATGATTTTCAAGTATTCACATTTAAAACCTTTCTCTTACAGTATTTGAATTATATGCCATTTCTTCCTTTTTCTATTTTAAAAGAAAAATAAATTGTGTACATGTATAAGCAGCCCTGTTTGCATCAAGATCTAGGTTTGAATTCTGAGCCTTCAACTCTTCTGCAAAGGACTTTACCAATGGAAATACAGGATGTACTTTGTCTCTTACACCATCCATCCAGAGTGGCTGGTGATTCCTGACTTTATGGCATACCTAAAAGGGGAGGCGCACACAAGCTCTGGAGAAGGTTCAACCCAATGTACATGAAATGTTTCGAAAGCACTTGCCATGTATTCTCAGTGCAGTGTTTGTTGCTGCTTTGGTGGTAGCATATGCCTATCAAGAGTCTGGAGAGTGATGCCTCTGGAAAATTCTCCCAATCAAATGCGAGGATTGCCACACAAATACCAGTATCTTTGCTGAAGCCATTGTTACCGGCACTGAGTCAGTGATCCTCAAGCACCAACTTCACTGGACCAGGCATTGCATGAGGATGCTTGACTCCCAAAACAAGTGCTCTACTCCCAGTATAG